CTTTATGACAGTAAGAGTCCCGAGAACCCCCAAACCCTCCGGCTGTGCACACGCGTGTCCCATCCGTGCCCTGGCCACTTCCTGCAGCAGCTCCGGAGTCCTCTCTCCTGCGCGCCTTCAGCCGCGCTGCCCTGGCCGCCTCGACGTCCTGAACGGACCTGGAACGTTGGCCTTTCGTGGTCATGTTGCCCCTAAGAGCCGGAAGTCACACGGTGCCGGGTCCGGTGACTCGGGCGGACGAGCACACAGCGTCTGTCTCTCGAGCTCCTGTCCACTCGCAGAACTTGGGCCACACCTGGGGAGGACACTCGGGAAAGAGGGCTCCAGAGCTGCCGCAGGAAGCGCAAGAAGCGTGGGACACACACCTTCAAATAGAGGGGGAAGACTTTGAGGGGATTTGTAGCAATGCGTCTTTTACTATAATAAATTTTTAAAATATAAACTCACCATACATTTCAATCACCCCTTGTATTCCCTGTTCTCTGAACATCTTCAATTCCTTCTACCCAGAATGTTCTTTCCCTTCTTTTTCTCCTAAAAGTCTCCTACACATGCTTCAAGACCCAAGCTGGCCTGGCCTCTTCAGGTAAGCCTCATTCCAGAACCCTATGCATGCCCTCCCTGCTCAAATTTCTGTCTCTGCTGCTAGACCATGCACTGCTCAAGAAGAGGGCGGTGCCTGGTTCTCTGGCTGAACACAGGCCGGACACTGAGGAGGCTCACAGTACGTGTCTGTGGAATGAATAAAGTGATACCTTATCTCTGATTTCAAGCCGGACAGTGAGTGAGATCACTTCCTCACAGCTAAATCTCTGTGCAGAGGTCACGGCAGCGACACTGAGGGCGGCTGAGAGGGTCTGCTATCCAACTGCAGGCAGGAACTGACCAAAGAGGCGACGGAGCCCCCCGGCCACTCCTGGGGACCCGCGGAGCCGAGTCACTTTGACCCATTGGGCCGTGCAGGCGGATGTACCCAGGACGCCGTGGAACCCAGCCTCAGGAGGGGCCAGAGCACCAGTGGGGGAGTCTCCAACCTGCTGGAGGATGGGAGGGATGCAAGGGCGGAGGAGGAGGGCGGGAGGGGGTGACACCCTACATAAACGGCGAAGACGGCACAAAACTGGCTCTGAAGGCCCCGCTCTGCTGGAGCTAAGCCACAGCAGCGCACTGATAAAAGCAACAGAGCGTCTGTCAAACTCGTGAACAGCACAGCCACTTCCGAGTATCAGGGGGCACAGCCAGGGGCACCACCCAGCCCGGCACCCGGAGCAGGGTCTGGCGCAGCCCGGGAGGTCCCGAGAGAGACAAGGCCCTTTGACTAGATGCAGATGGCCCTGTGAAAAATGAGACCTGCCAGCCCACCGCCTTATCAGCACAGAGGCCGCAGCCTGTGTCTCCCTCAGCCCAGCACCGGGCCCCGGGG